ATCATGGAAGCTGGTGTAATGCGTGCAAAACACTATCGTATCGGTATTAAAAGCACGCAAACTCGCCTGCGAGCGAATTACCACAAAGGATGGCCTCTGGTATTGAGTACTTAAGCAAGTGATCCGCGGTAGGAGCTACACCTATTGTTGTGTTTGTCTTCTGCACTCACGTGATGTTTTCGAACTCCCAGTGGAACGCTTCATATCAGGACTTCTCCGGCCACTTACTCTCACAATACGTCCTGACTAACAGCACTGCACAATCAGGAACCCCCATAGATACCATACCGAACACCGTCACTATGCCGACTGCAGCACCGTCATTATGCATGTATTCCACACAGTTCAGGTTTCCCTTTTTTTGGATTACAATTTATTGCCACCTTTGCTTATGTAATGATATTTTAATAAACAAAGTATAAAGTATTGCAAACATTCCATATCTCGTTATTCTATCTTGTGTGAGCCTGGCAGTGAGAGGTCACCAGTCAGCGTGCAAGCAATTAATCTGGGGGTATCCCACTGGCAAGTATGCCGAGGTGCGAAAAAGTAAGGTCATCCCAAACTATATGTGCACACCCCGCCGGAGCTATCCTCGAGATCACCGCTTGTGTCGATACCACAGTGAATACACGGTTAGACGTGTGGTGGAAAAACATTTGAAAGGGCGTAGACAAGTAGCATTTTGCTTGGATGAACGTGTGGCTGGCCGTGAGGCAGCGCATGGGAAATCCGGTAGTGGCACCCCGGTTTAGCTAACCTATGTTAAGATGCACCCTTGAGCAAGGGAAAAGTCACGCTTCCACAGCTAAGGACTCACTCACCTCGCGCATGGTAAGGAATAGAGTCCTTGAAAGTGGGTGTACAGCTTGTCATTGAAGGAGCGGGGTTTTTGAGGCTTAACTCGATCGTTGTTGTCACCGTGGTTTCTGACTGATAGCTGATGATGGTTAGAGGGACTCGTGTAAGTTTGTTGAATTTCAATACCATGCAGCTATGCGCGCAGAGGTCAAACTAACCTGAAAACGACAAAGAAACAAAGCTGCGACAAACATCCACACAATCGACCAAAAAGTGTTTTTGTCCGGTTGAGATGGACTGACGAAACAATCTCTCCACCTGAAATCCGTATTCGCACATAGGAGGTGTCGTATACTCCTACATAACCTACTAAATTGGAGGTGCTGTTCTTGGAAGGTCGGGCATTTTGGAGCAATAGCTCGACCAAATCGCAGTGATACCATTCTTATACAAAGGAGATCTTCAGGGCAATGAACTCTTACGAGCTTAGTTACTATGCTAATTCTTCGTTTTCTTTTTTTTTCAAATGTTAGATGGCAAGTGTTGCTTGACATGAGTGAGTTGTTTTTTGTGCAAGATGCAAAGAAACGTCCAGGGTAAGATATGTGACCCAATCCGGGAAGAAGCAGCTCCAAGACAAGCAGGCCTATTCCTTCTGCTTGGAGAGGTTCTTACGGTTCCGTATTCAAATATAGGCATATTACCTTTCTCGTAGTGAAACAACTATAAAACAGACTACCTGTCATCTCTTTCACGAATGTCTGACGTCAATGGCGAGAACACTTTCCTGGATGCTTCTCATCATTTTCGCGCTCTCCCCTTTACCCGATACCTGCAATGACTTTAATAAATCTACACGGGGACTGAGCTAGTAGATGACAATGTCCACTACTATTCGAGCTTGACTGCCCTAATACCTAGAGAATTCCTAAAGTCGCCAATTTGCAAATTTCAATGGTGTAAGCGCCCAACAGCCATGTACTCAGCGTCAGAAGTCACCCCTCCGTCTGAGCAGGCAAATGCTCAGACAGAAGCGTGTTAGCTTTCGATAGCCTTACCAAGATATTACGATTCACTTCACTTCATATGTGATGGATAAGTGCCACGTGCTACCAACGCCGGTGAAGTAATACACGTTCGATAAGATCTGGAAGTTTAGGGTAAAATATGCAGAAAAGATATGTCATATCTGACTTGGTCACACGTCAGATCCTAATCCGAAAGTCACTGCTTCAACTCTTGACGCCTAATAAGTACGGAAATGGTGGGTAGACGTTCGTCTTCGGAAACCAAGCAAAACCTCAACAGAAACTGTTCCTTCTTTTTCCTAGATAATAGTTCACCGGATGTTAGAACAAAAATTGTTAAGCCCTCCACAACCCAGTCGATGTAGTGTGTGTCTTCGTGATGCGCATTTTGGCGCGGCGCCAGATCATTTTCCACCAATCATTGCTCGCCTCATCTGGCCACGCCAAAATCCACGTCACACTGACAGGGACCGTTGATTTGATTGCGGAAGACAGTATTTTAAAATGCTAAATGCTTAAGCAATGAATTTTGACAGTTGGAATCTGATCCCAGGACTGACACACATCTCAGAAGGCCAGGTTTCTCTGAATGAAAACGTAACCGAGGCTTTAATCTCAAAAATGAACCACGACCCGTCCCTGACCTTCTATTTACACATGCCATTATTCTGACATCCGCCTGCGGCATAAGTAGTCTGGCAGTCACTAATTTTTGGAACGCCAAGAATAATGTTGTTCCTCTTTGATTAAGTATCACGTAACTCATCAGACTATATCCCACCGAATAGACGGCTTCATCCATGCAAATGAAACAGAACGGCGTTGCGCTGAGGATTAACGTGATAACAACTCTAAGTCTGTAGTAGGCTTTCTCACGCGATGTCATCTTCCATGAGGTTCTTGGGATGTACTGAACAAAGGTTCGTTAGCTCATTAGGAGAAGAAGCACAGCCCCAGAAAGGGATGTGGAATTGTCGAATGTCCAGTCACACCAAGCGAAAGCACCTAAGCCCACGTGTGTTAGCCTCTATTTAGGGAGAATCGAGGGTTTCGTCCACTTGAAGATTTCTATTGGGGGAAAAAAGGGGCGGCAAACTGATTGGTATGGTTCGCGTCAAGTGATGCCGACGCCAAAAATTGGTTCTTGTATTAATTATCGATCAGGTCACCGAATAACCTCTACAAACAAAGCTTCAGCAGGCGAAATAGACATCTTGGGACCGAGTAGTTGAACAGTGCCCTACAAGTTTCTTTTCCTCCTTGTTCAGCGGCAACGCTTTCGTTCGACCGCGCAATGCCATATCCAGGTCAATTTTCTCAAATTCTTCCGTCAAATAAGTGTTCTGGTACTCTTCACGGTAGTTGAATTTGAACGTAAATAAGGCAGTCTGAAAATCTGTTTCGCTACGTAAAAAAACAACGAACGTATAAAAGGACACTTACAGAGATAAAAGGCCAAATCATCGTTGCCGGTATGAATATCCACTTAATTATCGTCTGCATCGTTTCAAAAAATAGAATATATTGGGCAACAACGTCATGAAGACTTCTTTGAATTTGCTGAAAAGGGTTGATGTTGGGTTACTGAATGAGCTCTGTTCCCAGTAGACTGAGTGGTGTAAAAGCCATTTTAATCATAAGGACATGAGAAGTGAAATAATTATAAAACTTCGTTGTCAGGCAATGTTTTATTTAGCGCATTCAATTAAAGGAGTGCTTTCAGTTCCCATTGTTCGGAGCCCACAACATCAGAGCTCTATTCCATCCTGCTGTATAGCAACACTAGACAGAATCCTAACTAGTGAGGCTTATGTTA